GCTCCTCCTTCTGGGATGCAAAGTTAGGCTGCCAGGGAGGAGATTACAGGGAAGGAAGGTCAAAAGTTTCCCCTCAAATCTGGAGATTGTGGACGAGAATATAAGAAGGGAGGAGAGCAAATAAAATCTGTTTTGTAAGTAGTAATGAAAATATCAGACTCGTACACCAGTTGAATATTATTCTAGCATTTTTTTAGCAAATTGTTAATAATGATGCCATTGATAAGTTTAGCCCAGAATTGAATATTAGCTTAATTTATAAGCTAGTTTATAATTTCTGTCTCCTACCATTACATTTTCCCCAAGTTTGAAAACAGAGCACTTATAAAATTCAGATTATATGATAGAATATAGATTCTACAATGAAATGACAAATTCATTAAAAAGATGTGCCAATATTTATTATATGTGGGTTTGTATTTTGTAGCTTTTTATGATATTTAACTAGTGCTTTTGATTATTACGATGAAACAAAATCACTTGGATTCTGAATACTTTTGACAGAAAATACTTGAATTCTGAGTACTTTTTACTTATTCACAGAAATCTTAGATCTGAAAAGAATGTTAGAATTCATCCAGTTGCACATACTCTAATTTTACCTTTGTAGAAACAGAGACCTAGAAAATGGAGTAACTCTCTTAAATATCTCAGGTGGTTGTAGATTTAGAACCAGAGTCTTCTGCTGTCAGATTGGAGTGGTTTCTTTTATTAATTTGTTGTCCCATTATCTTTTACAAGGCTTGTAGTTATATGACATCATTTCTACAAAAAAACCCTATATTTTTTCATTTAAAAAGCATGAGTCCCTGAAACTAATGAAAACATTATTATTACTTAAAATAGTTATTAAAACATTCAACTTGGTAATATAGTTCTAGCGCTTCTCAGGAAAGGTAAAGTTTTGATTGTAAACTGGAACCTCGGTGGAATTTTCTTTGAGTTGAACCTGAAGGAAACAGCACATGCAAGTTTTCTGGGCAAATTTCCAACATTGTAGCACGTGAAGTTTGCCATGTCTAGTAAAGAGTTTCAGGAAGAAAGAATGCAAGTGCTTTCTGGAATATTTTTCTGTATAGGTTCTAAACATTCATGAAAAGAAGCTTGCCTCTGTATTTCCCTTAATTTAATAGTGGGACTTCACAGTTTGCTTGGGCCTCGTAACTCTTTACAAATGAAATGCAATTCTTTGTGTAGTGAAAGAATAAGAAGGCTGGTGTAGGTTGTTAAAAATATGTGTATATATATGGATTATTATACACATTATAAAATATATATTACATATGCTTATGTATATACATATATAAAATCAAATAAGCAATGCACTCAGATTTCTAAAGGTACAAAAAGATCTACAACGGAGGAATCTCCCTCCCACTCCTGTCCTCCAGCAAGAAATCTTCTCTCCAGAAACAACTACTTTTACCTGTTTCTTATGTAGCCTTCCAGAGATAATCTATTTATATTTAAACAATTATGTAAATATTCGTTTAAAACCACGAATACTGTATACACTGTTCTGTACTTTGCTTTTTAAAAAAAATTTATAATATATCTTGGAGATTGTTCCATACTAGCACACATAAAGCTGTTTTATTCATTTTAATGGCTGCATAGCATTAGCATTCCATTATGGAATATAATGTTTAATAATACATCCATCACATGAAATATTGTTTATATTATATTCACATTTATTGATTGATTTAATTTTAGTATTATTTATGATATTTATTAATAGCACATTAATGTATAACCAGACCTCCACTGATATTTAAATTGCTTTCTATCTTTTGCTATTTCACATCAGGCTAAAAAAGGTCATTTGCACATGTATGAGCTTATCTTTAGATGAGAATGATTGCTAGGTTGAGTGTAGGTACATTTGTAATTTTGATAGATTTTGCTAAAATGTCTTTCAGTTGCATCACCATGTCCTCAGCATTACAAGGTGTTTATCAAACTTTTTGATATTTACTAATAAGTGAAAAATATTATCCCATGTAGTTGTAATTTGCATTGCTTTAATTTGAGTGAGGTTGATAATTTTTTCATATGCTGAAGAGCCATTTGTATTTCCTTTTCTGTGAGCCATCTGTTCATATCGCTTTTCTTTCTTCTGCTTCTTTTTTTTTCCAGTCTTATTATTATTGACTGTAGAAGCTCTTTTTATGTATAAAAAATTAGCCTACTGGGTTTATGATTGTACGACTTCCCACCCTGCCCCCCATTCCTTGATTGTCGTTTATGTTTTTGATGGAGGTTTTGTTTGTTTTAAAATGCCGTTAAGTTTTGTTTTTATGTGTCAAATTTATCAATCTTGCTTTGTGTCATTCAGAGGCAGGCCTTCTAAACACAAACTTCCCATGTGTTGTCCTAGTGCTGTTATGGCTTCCCTTTTTACAATGAATTATTTGATTCATCTAGAATTTACTGAGATTAAAGGTGTGAAGTAGGTAGTCATCCTCTTTTTGTTTGTTTCAGATGACTGTTGGGTTCTCTCAGACTGTTTACTGACCTTACATCTTTTCCCTAGTGATTTGAAATGCCACTTTTATTGCATACGTGATTTCCATATGTATGTATCTTTGACCTAGTTCCCATCTTTGTAATTCGTTCCGCTGACCTTCCCATCTATCCAGCACACTGCTGTATGGTGTGTTTTTCATGTCCAGAAAGCTGGCTTCTCTCAGAGCTTCTCTTTCTTGAGAGATATCTGGCTATTTTTGCATGCTTATTTTACCATGTGAACTTCAGAGTCAGCTTGTATAATAACCTCAGCAAAGTAAAAAAAAAAAATTCTAGAAGTAATTTTTTAATTGGGAGTGCGTTAAATTAAATACGAATAACTTAGAATTGACACCTTTTTGATGTTTTCTTATTTAAAATTATGGAATATTTTTTCAACTGTTTTAACTCTTCTTTTGTGTTGTTTAGTAGCACTGTAAAGTTTTCTTCATATAAACTTTGCCTATTTCTTAACATTTTCTAGGTGTTTTACTCTTTTGTTATTACATAAATTAGGTCTCTTCTGTCGCATAATTTTCCCAGTTTGTGTGAAAAGGCTGTTGTTTAAGTTATATTACTTTTCTACCCTGTACCTTTTTACATTTGTAGTAGTTTTTCTGTTGATATTTTTGGGTTTTCCAGGAAACCAATCATGTTATCTGTGAATAATGATAACTCTATCTTTCCCTTTCCGATTTTGGTTCTCCTTGCCTTTCCTCATCGAATGTCATTGGCTAGTACTCCTGAACGATAATAAATAGCAGTAGTAGTCATAGTAGTAGTGATCTCTTGTCTTGACTTCAGTGGTAACATTTCTACTCATTCATGATTTAGTGGTAAATGAAAATATTCTCTCTCTCTCATATGCGTGTGTGTGTGTGTAAATTATGTAAGGAAATATCCAACTGTTCTCCTTTTATTAAGCAATTGCATTAAGAATGAATATCAATGTTCTAAAACTGATTTATGGTGAGGAATGCATCACTTGGTAAAGTTACTAGAGATCACTGAACTGTACACTTGAAATAGATCAATTTTATGATATATAAGATATAACTCAATAAAGTTGTTTTAAAAAAAGTGTGAATGCAGTATAAATACCTTTTAGATATGTATAGAGATGATCATATGCTGTTTCACCTTTATTCTATTGTATGGTGAATTGTTTAAATAGTATAAAATCCTTGTAGCCCTAAAATAAACCCCACTTAGTCATAGTATGTTAATCTTTTTATGTACTGCGCAGGTCTGTTTGCTAATTTTTTAATTTAGGGTTAACATCAATATTTAGAAGGGAGATTATTCGTATGTAATTTCTCTTTTGTGTACTTTCTTTGTTGGGTGATGGTATCAATACCTTACTGTTTAAATAAGAATTTGAAAACTTTCCTTCTTTTTGTATGGTTTGGAATAGTTTAAATATTATCAGAATTGTCCCTTTAGAGTTTCTTAGAATTCTCCTCTGAAGCCATCTATGCCTGTTTTTATTTATTTATGTATTTATTTATTGGAAGGACACTCAGGAAGATAGTTCTTGGACTTCTGTTTCATTATAGTATTGACCTATTTAAGTTTCCTATCTTTTTTTTTTCAGAGTGTGGTTCCTTAAGTATATATGAAATATTATTTACTGAACATCTTCACTTCATACTGATTGAGTCCCTCTTAATAAAGAGTGAGCTGATCTGTTATTGTTTTTCAGAGTGGCAGCTCTTTTTTTATATTCAGTGTTTTATGGTATTCGACAATTATGTCTGCCATTCCCAGATTTAAACATTAAGGGCTATTCCATGTTTTCATTGTTGAGATGGTGATATTGTAAACCATGCCGTATGTTTACATTGCTCTGGAGACCATTACTATGGTCTTGGATACACTTTGCCAAGAGATCCCAGTTTTACTGCTGGTCATGTGGCAGCCACGGGGTTGGCCCTCAAAAGACACAATTGATTTATCTTGATTATGTACATTGTAGGTACTCAGTAATTCTAGTGAATGAAATATTTGTTTAGTGTCTACTATGTGTTTGTTTGCGGAGGATATAAAGATGTATTCGAGAGATAATATATGTTATGAATGCAAAATTGAATTAAATAGATTAAATATTATGTTAAGTGTATGTATTTAGATATATTAAAGGATACAATTTTACACACTTGCCAAGGGTAGAATGACTTTGAAATAATTCTCAGAGTGAAAAGGAAATATTGATTCAGTTACCCTTATACCTGACCTGAATTGACAAATTTATATAGAGTGCTAAAACTGTTTCCGCAGTATTTTTACTTTTCCATATGAATCGGGCTAATATGCTAGAAAATGGAAATCACAACACCGTAGTAACAGTGGGGCAAAAAATGATAATGTTGAGCTAAATTTGGAATATACTGTTTATTTTAAAACATGTTAAGAAAAAAGTATTGATGGTTGATAAGATTGTATTGGATTATGTTGAAGATTTATTGACAAATTATTCTTTCTTTTTCTCGCAGATTTATCTAAAAATAGACTGGTTGAAGTCCCAATGGAATTGTGCCATTTTGTATCACTGGAAATTCTTAATCTGTATCATAATTGTATCAGAGTCATTCCTGAGGCCATCATTAATCTGCAGATGCTGACTTACTTAAACTTGAGGTAGGTTGACTATTATAAAGGTTGTAATCATATTCAGGTAAAAAAAACCCAAAAGTCAGTTTCTGTCAGTTTTTTTTTCTTTTTCGCAATTCCTGATCACCCTTTGAAGTAAATCACACAAAGATGATTTAAGAAATATCTTCTATAATACATTTGTAGTGTCGTTAATATTGTTTTTGGTGCTGGACTTCTCTGAATGTCAATATGACAAGATGTTTTTGGTTTTTTAAAATAATATATATGGCTTCATTTATACTTTTTGTCCATTTGGTGCTTGGGAGATTATTGGTAGCTGCTCTGCAGGTATTGATGTAGATTTTGGAGCAGGAAGCCTACAGGAAGTGAAAAAGAACTTGGGGTTGGGACAAATCGGGGCCTTGCTGGTCTTTGGGAGTTATTGGTACCATGGGATTTGCTTCCTAGTACTGACTGAGCCTGTTCACTTTAGGCCACCTGAGAAAGTTCAGGAGGAGCCCTGAGCAACTCCAGCAAGATATGAAGTTTACAGTCTTGATAGCCCTTTAAATTAGGTCAGCATTTGCTGAGGACAGGTCGGTGTTCTGTATTGACTCTCGGATTATGTACAGCACAATGTAACATGTTAATGCTCCTGAGTTGTCCTGAGGATAAGAAATCAGCTGTTTTAAGACCCAGGTTTTTAGACTTGACTCACATCTGGGATGACAGGAGAGAGAGGAGAGCTGTTTTAACAGATCTGTCTCTACTCTAAAAACAAGGTTCTATAGTTCAAGCCTGAGCGTGGCCTTCATTCCTGTCAGCTGCATTATCTCCATGTGCAAAGAGTAGCACCTGGTCAGCAAGGCTTGTGCTGTGTAACAAATATACCACACTGTAAAGTACAAAATTCCCAATGAACCAGGTATAGCAATAACTTATGATAGTACTGTCAGTTATTTCTTAGTTTTTTTTAGTGGGCCACTGAGAGTTACGGGTCTTCTCCTGCTTTCTTTGCAGTCAAAAATGGGTTTCCATTGCATTTCATTAGGAGTGCCTATCTTCCTTGGGAGTGGAAAACAATCTTAGTCATGTTTTCAAGTGGCCTTAACTTCTTTGTGGTAAATAAGAGGTAGGTTACTATTAGCATAATCTAGAGGCTCGTATATCTAACTTTCACTTCTCCAGGTTTCTACTTCATCTGAAGACCATTTTGAGTTTTTTTGCATAAGAATAGTCCAAGCTGTTTCTGCTACAGCAGAAATGTTAATTACCTAGGAATTGCCTGATGGAGCCAGCATAGTGGTGTCCGTAGATTTTGGTTCACTGTCTCTAAGACGTCTGTGCTCTAATCCCAACTGGAGTAGGGGAAATATCCCAAGAGCATATGCAATTGGTCTGTTCGCTTTTCTTAGCTACTCCTGTTCTGCTGTGACCTTTTCACCTCTAGTAGTCCTGCAAGAAATAGGAGAATAGATGTAACTTTGCATTGTTATGTTAAGTTCATATGCACTGAGAAACTTTTGGGTATAGAAGACATATCTCTTCTGGGATGATATAAACTATAAAATTCTACAAACACTAGATAATCTAATCTTAAAATTCATATTATGTTTTAAAAGCATTGATAAAATTGCTTTTGGTATGATGATTTTCATGTTGAGCCTCGTGGAGAGTAGAATAATCTTGCTATCTTCAGATGGTAGAAAGAATATATTGGAGTGTGGACCTCAAGATTCTTTAAGGCAAGAACAGAGAGACGCTGAGACTGATGACGCTGAAGAGGATCCATGTGGTATGTTGTAAGCAAGAGTTTTGTGATGAATTCCTAAGTAATGGAAGGGAGAAAGAAACCAAGGGATCATTAAACACCCAACTCTTTAAACTTTGTTTTCTGTCTGTAATTGTTTAAGTTTTGTTTGCCTCTGTCTTTTCTGCCATTTATATATGTCATTTTTATTTGGTTTTGTTCTCCTTTGTTCCTACTTTTCTTTGTTTTTCACCTCCTACTTTAGTATTACCATGTTTAAGACCTATTCTCTCATGTTGAATCATGACTCTTTAAAGGAATTGATAACAACATGGAGAAAATTAAGAAAAAGTACATCTCTTACTTTTCAGAGATATTGTGTCAGGGTAGATGAAAAACGTATGGATGTCCTCTAAATTCTTTGAAAGCCAGGTACTATATATACATATGTAATTATTTTTGATACCTTCTATCACATTTACTTCATGAATATAAATGTGTCACAGAAAGTAGTAACATAGGGCAAACTGTAAGGTGGCCATGAGGTGGTCATCTTGTTTATTCAATTACAAGGCCTTCACCTCCTGTTTGATGACTGGGTTTAGCTGAAATGTATCTTCTAGGAATTGGACTCTTGAAATTGAGTTATTTCTCCGTTTGGGAGTGATTTGAGGTAGAATGTTACATTTGCCTAAAAGATTTGTTTGTAGCTTATGAAATAGTAGGTGACTGTCACATCTGTTTATTTGCAAATATGTTATAATATCTAGAAAATACTAGTGCCATCTGATTAAATTGTAAGTCTTCTAAGATGTTGAGTAATATCATCCACATGATAGTAGTGCTGTCTGTGTGAGTTCTTCTTGTCCTCAAAGTACCACCCCACTCCCAGCCACCCCGAGCTGGTAACTGGGAGGAATTTAGAATATTGTGCTTATGCGTGATCATGACATGTGTCCCCTCCACAACAGCCAGGGTTGGGCACTGTGGCTTTTTCTTGTCTTTTCTACCCCTCATGAAAATTATATCAACAAAATAAAATATATTCCTCTTGGGTATGGTGAAGAGACAGGGTGGACTTCTGTTGACCGTTGGCCTTTGGAGGGGAGGCTGCCAACCCATTTACTTAAAAAGGAAACAAGGGCTTCAGGATCTTGCAAACTTACTACCTTGTAGAAGAACTGCTGAGCTGCCTTCCATCCAATTTTCTTTTCTGTGATAGTTATAAATGGGAGATAATGCCAAAGAAAAAAGCTTATATTCTAGACAGAAGTATATAATCAAATCATGACATTATCACTAATTTAGATGTATTTTGGGGAAGTCTGTATAAATTTCAGAAAATTAAAGAAATACTGTCAACAACTTTTGAGCACATACTTAAGGTAGACTGTATCAAATATGGCATGTTTTGAAACAGCGTCAACAAGGAGGCAAGTTCATCAGGTTTTATAAATAAATACCCAAACACACATTCTTTTTTGTAGTACTCAGGATTTTCCCCTTGTATTTATTAACTAGGGAGAAAGAGCTGTTAAAGTAGTACAGAGAAACTGCTTTTCAAAGTTTACAGACTTCATGTTTTTAGACTTAAAATTAAAGATGGTCTTATGGTATTTTAAATTTTTTTCTCTTTTTTAATAAATCGCATTTAGAAATTACTAATTTGGTGTGTTGCAAGACAGGAGAGATGCCATATGAAGCTATTTTGAATTTATGGGAAACATTCAAAATTGATTACACACTCTGAGATGTAGTGCGTGTTCCAGTAGAGTAAACAGCCATGAATATTTGATGGTGATGGCATTAGTGATGACGACGGAGATGGTGGTGGAGGGGGAGGTGGTGAAATGTCACCGCCTGTCCGGCTCCTTGGCTGACGGATCTCTCGGCGATGTTATCTTTAGAAGTCAAATGGCTGCGTGGTTCCAGCCACCCAATTCCTGTGTTAGACTAGAAATGGGTTTAATTAGCACGTGGGGAAAGAAGTCTTCACTGTGAAATGCAGTTAAAACACTTCAGTGTCTTCTACATTTTCTCACATGATAGAAATGTCATATTCGTGGAAAACATTAATTTAGTGCTGTTTATGTAGGCTGTGTCTGAAGGATCTAGGCTTTTAATCTTTGCTTCTTGGTGTTCACAACAAAAGGTTATGTTAGTTTAGTATATGTGCCACTGTGTCTCTTCCTGTTATAAAGTGTCTTAATCCAAGAATCGTGGCCAAGGACAATCAAAATGATTAAGCAGGATTTGTTCCTATATAGGAACAAAGATTTTGAACCTGAGTTACACAGGAAAGACTCACAAAGTTTAAAATCTATTTTAAGGGGCCGGCCTGGTGGCACAAGAGGTTAAGTGTGTGCGGCTCCGCTGCGGCGGGACGGGGTTCACCGGTTCGGATCCTGGGCGTGCACCGATGCACTGCTTGGCAAGCCATGCTGTGGCGGTGTCCCATATAAAGTGGAGGAAGATGGGCACGGCTGTTAGCCCAGGGCCAGTCTTCCTCATAAAAAAACAAAAAGAAATCTGTTTTAAGTTGTTGGAGAGGTTGTTGTTGATGAAACTCATGAAGAAAGTGTACCTTAGGAAAATAGAATAACGCAGAGTAGCAAAACTCTTGGCAACTGTAGGGATGTTGTGAATCTAAGAATAGGGACCTGAGCTTAAAAGTTTCATCTCAGAGAGTTTCAGGAATAGAAGCTGCCAAAAAATGAAAGTTTTTACAGCATTTGATCATATTGCTTCCAGAACTCTTGGTGAGTGGCTTTACTTTCCCAGAGTGAAACACACAGAACCAGGAGCTGGTTTATTCAATAGAAGCCCCTCTCTCTCCCAATCCACCAGGAATAGATTCTAAGGCATTGCCTGTAAAGAAGAGGGCAGTCTCTTGAACAAAATGTTATCACAACATAAAAGGAATATGTTTTGGCTGCTTTTCTGAAGCCTGGCATCCTTTTTGGCTGCTAAACAATGTGCAGAAAAGAGCCAACTTCCTCATGGCTGTAAAACCCGTCTCCCCACATTCCTTTGGGAGGTCATTCTGAGAAATAATCTTTAATCCTCAAGAATATAGCTCTCTATTTGAAGGACTGGGAGAAGCATCCTGCATGCTAGGTTTGCCTTAGAAAGCACAGATTTTATATTTTTTGTTGTGAACTAAAAATTAATTTTCCTTGTTTCTAAGAATTTTAATTTTATCCCTAAGAAATGCATCATCTCACCAACATTTCTGAAGACAGTATCAATTATAAGATAGCATTTCTTCTTTCTAGAAACTGAGAAAATTGATGGT